TTATTTATATCCCGCCTATCTAGCCAACTACAGATGGGCTCACATCTTGATTTGCTCCAACATTTGCTCCACCCCTAGGTGTTTCAGAGACGACTCGATGGTTCTGTTGACTTCTATCGCACCTGGACGACCTACCAGAAAGGCTTTGGAAACCAGCTGTCAGAATTCTGGCTGGGCAATGAGAACATTCATCTTCTCACCCGTGAAGGTAATAGAACCCAACCTTTCAATTGGAATGCAATTTTATCACCACAGCATGGAGCTGTAGTGTGTCTAGACACAACAGAAATTGATCTGACAGATTTTCACATCTCAACACTAATGTAAAATAGATTGTACATACAGCTAAATTCCTTATGTGGGTTCCTCCACTCCACTGTTGTCTCCACTGTTCTAATGCAGAAATTCCCCTGATGGTCACAGCCCTTCATGGTCATAACCATAGGACAATGAGTGTTCTCCTATATTTAAAAAGTGACAATGTGTTCAGGGCCAGGATCTGAAACATTAGGGGAGTTCCCCCTCCAAAACTCACTTTTGCTAGAAGTGGTGTATGGCATTAGTATTTCTCAGGCTAAATCTGGAAACCTTAGAACATACTAGGTGACAGAGGAGAAGAGCTGTGGAGTCTAGGAGTAACACCCAGGAAAGTGTCATTCAACCCAATAGTAGGGTTAATCCTCAAGCCAAGTTTCTTTCACATGCATATCTGCCCCTCCCATTGTGAAATGACAAATCAATCCAATTAATAGGACTTTTGTAAAGATTACAGATACCAGTGTAACTTAATCATTATATAGTAACATAGTTGGCTCATCTGAATTACAAAATGCTTCCCGAAAGAAGTTCTCAGAGAACAAATTGAAAGCAATGGCAAGTTTACTCCTTTTGTTGCATCTTCTTCTTCTTATCTGTAGATCCTCCTTCCTCTGGATCTTCCAGCTTTCACTGCAGGTTTTTGTTCCTATTACAAGTTGTGATTCATATGAGTATCTCTTGCATTAAGATCTCTATTTATTAACAACCCACCATCTTGTTATGCTGGACATTGTCAAAGGCCTTCTTGTAGCCAATAAAGCAAACATACATATCCAAGTTCAAGATACAGCATCTCTCCCACCTAAGCCTTCCAGGGTCTTTTTTATGTTTCCACCTGAATCATGACAAGCTTGCTTCAAAGATCTAATGCCTTTCACAATTCTGATGGCCACCACCATGGTTGAATTTTCCTCTGGCAAAGCCCAACTTACCTACATTGCCTCTGGTTGTTACTGACACTGCTGTTGCCCAAGGCCAGGTGGGGTTTAAAAGCTCCACAGGTCTCCTGGGCAAACTCCTCCACCAAAAATTATTGGCTTTGCCGAAGGTCAGGTTAACACCAGCCCAATGCTTGCCACTGCTGAGGGACATGGTGATGCTACCCACCAAGACCAGTCCAGCCGCCAGTCACTTTATGGAAAACGAATGGGTCTTTACAGCCCGTTCAAGACTAAGCCATTCTAAAATGCTGCGTGTTACAGCAGCGATACCTCTCAAAGATAGTTGCTGGGATAGTGTGCTCTGCTCTTGTGGCTATGATGAAGAGTGTGGCTAAGCTCAGATAGAAAATAGCTCAAAGGGAGGCATGGGGAGATGACATCATCATTCCTGCTGCTCAAAAAGTCTAAGTTGACCTTGCAAGAGTTGTCGCTATTATATCGCAGAATATGTTGCATGCTGTGTAGCTATCAGGAGATCCAGGGACTGGATGAAACAAGAGTACAGTGGGTTCTCTACTTAAGAACTTAATCCGTATTGGAAGGTGGTTCTCAAGTTGAAAAGTTCTTATGTTGAATCTGCATTTCCCATAGGAATGCATTGAAAACCATTTAATCCGTATCTGCTCTTTTCCGTCCATAGAAACTACTGTATAGGATTCGAGTCTTAATACAGTATCTGCTGGTTTATTATACCAGACTAAAGGTGCAACACAGTCTTTTGCTACTGTAATAGCCCTATCTTGTTAGCAATATTAGGCAAATATGCAGGGAAAATAATAAAGGTTTTTGCCCTTTTTTCCTTAGGAGAGCACCAGCTCCGAGTGGACTTGGTGGACTTTGAAGGCAAGAAGACCTTTGCACATTATCAGTCCTTCCAACTCAAGGGAGAAAATGAGAACTATCAGCTAGTCCTTGGGCAATTCCTGGGTGGATCAGCAGGTGAGGGACATTAAAGATGCCTTCATATTGTACGTACTCATTTCAAATGCTTCCAGGTATATTTCTCACCCAGTTGGCCACTGGACATGCTAGTTGTAATATTCTGGGAACTGTAGTATTCAAAAGTGGGGTTCCAAACTTGATTCCTATTCTACAGAAAAAGAGCCATTCAATAGTGACCATCCTTCCCTCATCTTTTTGTTAAGTAACTTTTTTCAAGCTCTGTTAGAATCATTAGCAATCATTGAATATGAAAATGAAAACGGTGTGGGGTGTATTAAACCTTTTAATAAGATACAAATGGCACCGATATTATATGTAGATGATATTATCTTGATAATAACTAGACAAGAAAAATAGATATTTATGGACAGCCAGCAGGTTATAGGTTAAATAAACATAACATTAAAAATAGTTACAATGTCAAAGAAGATACATTAAAGATACAAATACTTGAAAAAAGACAAATACTTTATTGCTGCATACCCAGCCAATGTGTATGTATAAAAAGAAATTAAACCCCTCTTAAGAAACATTATGAAAAGATACTGTTGACAGTCATTAAACCAAATAATAACAACACACTCCACATGCAGGTATCTAGGGATAAAAGAGACAAAAATATTGAGAATATCTATGGTTAAATTAAAAGGCAATTTAAAAAATGTTTTAGTAAATTTCAAATACAATAAACATGTAGTGAGAAAAATTATAAGCCATATATTAGAATAAATGTATGGTTTTACAGGGCAATCCTGTTATCAAGTCAGTGTTCTAGGCTCAAAGCAGAGCATGGAAGATTTACTTTTTTGGATTACAACTCACAAAATCTGCCCTGCCCCGGAACATGCTGTCTTCAGTATTCTGGGAAATGGAGTTGAGAAAAAAATACTTCCCCAAGCTCTGAGTAAAAGCCTGAAATCCAGTAGTTAAGTCACAACCAGAATAGAGGCAAGGTTACAATATTGGGAAAAAATGGGTCATGGATCGGAATTTTTGAATTTGGTTTAAAGTCACATGGTGTGTGCATTCTCTTGGGAACGCTTTTGATCTGTTTTTAAACTGTGTTATATATCGATCCAGGGAGCTACAAGGGTTTTAGAATTGTTACATCTGAGGCTTTGTCCTGCACTCACCCGCTATCACTGGCTGCCTTTCACAGACACTAGCTACTGCTGTTGTGGTGTTATTTCTTTCTTACAATGTTTTTCTTTCTTACAATAGAGTTAGCACAGAATGACAGATAGACCAAAAGAGAGAGAGAGAGAGAGAAGTTTCCCTGAAGCCTGACACATGCACACCGAGACAGACAGACACACACAGACCCAGAGGGGTTGGAGAAGGAAAGGGACCAACATAGCCAGGGTTGAAACTGACCAGATGCATTGACTAAGCTTGCAAGGGAGCAAAAAGAAAGAAAGAAAAGGAAAAAAGCTTGCTTCCCATGCAAAATAATTATGTGCTTCCATGTGCATCATACACTCACCTACAAAATAATTATGTGCTTCCATGTGCATCGTACACTCACCTATTTAAAAATCAATTTCAAACATGCTAAACCGAATTCAAATGCAGTTTTCCCCCCATGTATAACAGATTTCAAACATGCTAAACCCAATTCAAATGCACTTTCCCCCCATGTATAATGGTACACTCAGCCCATTGAATCCATAGAAAGTATAGAGAAGTTGATTCACCAGATCCCTACTGATTCAATGGGCCTATTCTACTTGAGACTGATGACTAGATTTGAGCCAAATTTTTCTCAGATTTCCTCAAGCTGGCAACTCCTGCCAGAAGGTCAGAACAAACTATTGCTGGCTTTTGGGAGAAAATTTTCAGCTATGAGAGGCAAACATTTATACCAGTTTCTCCCCCCCCCCCAAAAAAAAATGTTCTCCTGTGTTGGGAATGTGGTGCAAATACAGACATGAAGGCTTGGGGTGGGGGACCTCAGAAATTTATTTGGAGAGGGAAAAGCAGGATTTTCTTCCAGGCCTTTAGATTTCCTCAAGCTGGCAACTCCTGCCAGGACAGAACAAACTATTGCTGGGTTTTGGGAGAAAATTGTTTTTTGTTCCATTTTTCAGCTATGAGAGGCAAACATTTATACCAGTTTCTCCCCCCCCCCCAAAAAAAAATGTTCTCCTGTGTTGGGTATGTGGTGCAAATACAGACATGAAGGCATGGGGGGATCTCAGAAATTTATTTGGGGGGGGGAAGCAGGATTTTCTTCCAGGCCTTCACCTCCCTGGCCACAAAGCTGAAAAGCCTTTGGATGCTGCATTTTCAGAGTTGCCACTGTTCAGCCAATGGCACACCCCAATACACTTTCTTCTTCCATGGAAAACACTTACGTCCCCAGCATCAGAACTCTGAAGCTAGGTGAGGTGAGAAAGTGAACTGGAATAGGCTTTGGGTTGGATTGCCCTTTTAGGTTTAGTGTTTACATGGCCCGGTCTTTGCCCTTGGGACCCAACCTGTCTCAAACAGGACACTTCAAGAAACACAGAGTTACGGAACTGGAAAGGATCCTATGATATGTCTAGTCCTGTCCTCGGTCATGCAGGAGAACTTCCTTAACTAACGGTTCCTTTAAATAACCTCCATCGAAGGAGAACCCACTACTTTTCAATGGCACTGTGTCCCATTACCAAGTAGCTCTTGGTCATTTAATGTGTTGACTGATATATTGCTGCGATGGATAGAGGTAACTAGCAAAATAAAATAAGAATGCTGGAGGCCCTACTCACACCACATCCTTGACCTTTGCAGGTGACTCTCTGTCGGCGCATAACGGGCACCCTTTTTCGACTCATGACAGCGACAATGATAGCGGGACACAGAACTGTGCTATCACTGTGCATGGAGCCTGGTGGTATACGAATTGCTATCATTCCAATTTGAATGGAGGTTACCCAATTGGCAGTCGGAAGGGGCAGTCGTATGGCATTGATTGGGCATCTGGCAAGGGGGTTGGGGTCTCCTACAAGCGCACAGAAATGAAGATCCGTTAAACGGATCCTATGGAGCTTCTGTGGAGTAAAAAAATAAATGACAAACAGAAACAAACAAGCATGTGTTTTTAACTGCAGAAACAATTCCGCTTCTGAAATGCTTTTGTGTATTTTGAAAAGGTGACAGAAAGAAGATTCAGGAGTTCAAAATTAATTGCCCTGTCTAGCAAAGATAGATGAGAAGGAACAGATTCCCAGCAAAAATCAGTAGCAACAATTATAATAATCCATCGTCCTTCTCAAAAATGTTTTTATTAATTCAACCAAACATTCAATAATGGAAACCAAAGAGAGGGAAATACTGAATGAACTCTTGGATCCTGAGGCTGTGGGCCTTGCTGTTTTGGCTAAAGACAAAGCTATTGGCTGAGATGGTAGATGAAGAAAAAGCCATTCAGAATAAGTTGCTCCACAAAAATGATCGAATCTTGTCATTTCTGAAAGCATTTCTTCAACTTTTTGTACACATTCATTAAAGGATCCGATTTCCTAAGGAGAAGAGAAGTGGGGGTTCAGGAATAAGTGTAGACAGAAAGCCTGGTAAGAACTGTGCTCATTTGGAGAAGGAACGGATGCTCTGGATTAGTCTTGTGTGGTTGCTTTTTTAATTGTCTACACACAGGTGGCATCAGAATTGTACAGTATGGGTGAGGACTATCCTTTTTCAGTACTGGACTTTTTAACTCTTTATCAAGAACGTCTGTCCTTAAATAGAAAAATAAATACTGTAAAACTCTGGTAAGTTGTCCCACATACTCCTAACAAAACCTGTCCACGATCTGAGTCAAAACTCATCCAAAGCAATCTGAAGTGCATTCTTGCGCAATCTGTAAACTGCTTCACAGTTCCTAATGATCCTGTTTGGTTTATGCATCCACATGTCCAAGGTCTTTTATTCTAGGATGTTCCAATGCCTCTGACTACAAGGCACAAGGCAAGGATTTTTTTAAAAAAATCAAATCTAAGTGATTAAGTGCATCAGCAATGGTCTAGCATAGGTGAAAATAATAATTTTACTTTTGATTGGATGGTTTAGTAAGGTTGCAAGCAATATGATGCCTCTTCGCAGCACCGTTCTCTGACAACTGTTGGAGCCATTTGCCATCTTCTCACTTTTGTGCATTGCCTAGTTTGGCACACAAATGCACTCACGCGTGCGCATGCGTGCACTCACACGCACACACGCACACACACACACTGACATGCACAGCAGTTAGGAGGAAAAGAGAATCCACCAACTTCATTCCCTGTGTTTTTCCCCTCCTCTCTGTCATGTTTGTGTTCCCTCCCCCTTTTTACTCCCTTTTTCCTTTCCCGACACAGGAGAAAGGAGGCTCCCTTGCTCACTGTCTCCCTGTCAATATCTTATTTGTGCCTTCTTTGTGCAGTGGAAGAAGAGCTCCTTCATAGCTCTGTGATGCAGATTCCCCACCTCCTTGAAACATCTCTTACTTTCCTTTCCCCCCCCACTTTCAATTGTCAACATTCAATTGTTTCTAAGAGTTGCTTTGACAAGGTTCAGTTGAAAAGGAAAGTGTGCAATAGATGCTTGATGACAGGAAGGGTTGGATGGGGGGGCACTCACTTGAGCTTGATATGTCATTTGCCAATGGCACATCTCTACTCCCCTGCAACCTAAAGCACCCCTAATTTGTATACTTTGTACAGTATATTTAGCATGTTTAGCATTGCACACTGTCTTTTAATCCTGTAAGCCATCTTGGGTCCTTTTCATGGAGAAAAGTGGGGTGGGATATTTTAAATAAATAATCAATACATTTTGAGTTACTTTTGCTTTAACCGCTTTTAGCCAGAAATATCTCTGCTCTTCTTAAAAAAACAAGTTTGTGTTCTTTGAAGGGAATCTGACTCTGTTCCTTGAAACTGAGTGAAGTGAAGCTCGGGTTCAGGCAGTGCATCCCCCCCCCCGAGTGGCAAGAACCACACTAAAAATAAATAAAACTTTAAAAACACTTCAGGACTTTATGTTCACAGTTCTCCAAAGCTGACATTTTCTGCCCATCTCCCCCTCTCATTTCTTCACACTTTTCATTTCACTTTTCTGCTCCCGTGCCTTCTGCCCCTCCTCTCTTTGTGCATAAGAGTTGCTCTCCACTGCTCTTCCAAGCCCGATAAACAAGACTTCTCTAGCTTGGCCATGACCTACTTGCCCCTTCCTGGATAGGGCTTTGCCTAAGGCATTCATGCAAAAGACCTCATTCAGTGAGGGTAAGGCCACTTCGAAGTGGGACAGAAGGAAAAGACCGTTCAACCATGTCCAGAATCTACAGAGCAAGGCCCTTTAATGTCCATATTGCTGTTGAGAAACAGAGGCCCAAAGTGGCCCATTGTAATGGTTAAAAGGTCTGGAATAGGGCTGCGTGTCATGCTTGCATGCAATCTTGACACGCCCCTGTGCAAGCATAACACGCCCACCTATGAGCGTGGCACCCGCCCTCCCCCGGTCCGCGCACAGAGCCCGCATGCCCCAACCGGTCCCCAGTCCAAAAAAGGTTGGGGACCACTGCTCTACATGACCAGAGACAAGATTTCAGCAGGGTACCTTGAGTTAGTCACTCTTTCTGTGATGACAGGAGATGTATTTTGTCTTAAGCTCCTTGGGAGAAAGAGGAAAATCAAACTTTTATAATACTTATCAGGTTAAATTCCAGAGCCTGGAAAAGTTCCTTTTTTTGAATTACAACTCCCAACATTCTCCAACAGCCATACGAGTTGGGGAATTCTGTTAATTAGTCAAAAAAGTACTTTCCCAAGATCAATTCTCCAAGCAATCTGAAGCTCCTTACAACTATCTGCATATGAGGCTTTAAACTTATTTAACCTAGGTTCTCACATCCTATTCCACGTAGCAACAGATTCCATGTTAAAATGAATTGCAGACTTCTGTGAAAAACAAGAACAACTTACCCCCAAAGCCATTTAGAGGCAAAGAAGGTTGTGCTCCCACCTGTGGATTTCGCACTTGCTGGGTTGCGTCCCATGCAGATAAAGTCCCATGCACAGTTATATGAGAATAAAGCCTGACTGAAGGTTGTCAAAGAAGCAGCTGTGTTGGTCTGTCCAAGCATGTCAGATTAACAAATAAATACAGTGATGCCTGGCTTACGATTGCCACGCATTACGACAAAACTGTTTAACAACGATCTTTTTGCAATTGCAGTTGCAATCACAAAACAATGGTCTGAATGGGGGAATTTCACTTTGCAATGATCGGTTCCCTGCTTCGGGAACCGATTCTTCGCAAAACAATGATTTTTAAACAGCAGATCAGCAGTTTCAAAATGGCCGTCGGGTAACCAAAATGGCTCCCCACTGTGTTTAGGGACGGATTCCTCACTATAAAGGCAGTGAAAATGGCCGCCATATGGAGGATCTTCGCTGGACTGTGAGTTTTTACCCCATTGGAACGCATTGAATGGGTTTCAATGCATTTCAATTGGGTTTTTTATTTCACTTTACGATGTTTTCGCTTAACAGCGATTTTCCAGGAACGGATTATCGTCGTTAAGCGAGGCACCACTGTAATAAATATGAATGAGAGAGAGAGACATGTTGTGGTACCTGAAACGTCATCAGCTGTTTTTCATCGTTACCTTTCATGGGTCAAGTCTGAGGAAGTGACCTTGACCTAAGAGAGCTCACATGAAAATTTAGCTGTTCATCTTGAAGGTGCCACAATGTTTCTGTTTCCTTTTTTAACCTCATTTTGTTTTATCTGATATGACTGAATGCTGTGGGACTTGCTCTAAAGCAAACAGGGGGGAAAAACTGCCCTCCCCTTTTGCCTTATCTTTTCCCCTTGTGAAGAAGCCCCGAAGCTTGTCAAATAACTCAACATTCCAAAGTCTTTTAAACCAACGGCCTGTCTCATCCATCATCCTGTTGACTGCATTTGCCAATAAACACATCTAGAAAGTCCGCAAGGAGGAAGACAAAATGGCATCAAAATCCCTCATCTCACTTTCCTCAGAAACGGGCAAACAGGGGCAAACGTCCTCTTTGTCAGGATCTGGGTCGTGGCAGGGCTTCCCCTGCACCACCGCCCTGGCCTCTGTAGGATCGGGGCCAGCTTAGTCCCAGGAAGAGGCCAGCATTTGCAGGATTGAGCCCTGCCAGGACAGCTTCTGCCAGGGCTCTCACATGCCCCCCCTGGGAGTCCTGAGGGAAGGCCTACTTAAGGAATGACTCTTCTCCCTCCTGGAAGCTGTCTTGCCAACCTTGGTCTTTGGCCCTGCTGTGGGTATTCCAGTGCTCTTGAGCCCCAGGGCTCCTCCTCTGGTTTCCATTCCTGCTCTGAACTCTGGTATTCCTGCTCCCTGCTCTGGCTCAGCGCTCCCATTCCTGCGGTCTGTTTCCAATCCTGGTGCTCCGGTTTCCGTTCCTATCCTGGCTTGTTGGTCCGTGTGTGAGTTTGGGCTTGCCCTTGCCCCCTGCTGTTGAAGGCGACCATGCACAACCTGGACCTTGGCACTCTTATCTTGATGATCACATATAGCCATCATGACTAAAGATCGCTGACAGTCTTATGAATCCTTATCAATCTTTTCTTGACTCCAAGTCTAAATGCTTCTAAGCTGGGAAGGGGGAAACATGTGACTCTTTATATTTATTTATTGGGCGGCTTACAACATTTAAAACACAATAAAAAGGCAAAATAAAAGGGCAAAATAATTAAAATGCAATTAAAATATATATTCTAAAAATTGCCATCAGACCTACAGCTGATATTAGATGTTGTTGGGCTGCAGCTCCCATCAGCAGTAGCCTGTGTAGCAAAGAGTTGGGGATGATGGGATCTGCACTTGCAACAAAAGCTGAAGGGGGGGAACATATATTCTCCATCCCTCATGTAAGCCAGGTCTGGATGGCATGATGGGTCTACTTTGCTGACGTTTCCCCCAGCCCAAACCTAAGGAGCAGCACTTAACATCTAGGTATAAAATGGTGGCTCAGAGGGTATGAGTTACCACACACCATGAATTATGTATATTGGAACCCTGTGCATTACACAAGGACAAATTGACATATTTTTGGACTGTAACTCCCATAAGCTCTCAGCCAGTGTGGCCAATAGCTGGGTTTATTCTAGGAATAATTACAGTATATATAAAAAATTTTTTTTTCCAGATTATCGAATAAGGGATTCTGACAGTTTGATTGAGTTGTTTTAATAGTTGCTATTGATTCACTTCAGATAATCCCCTAATACTTCTACAGATTGTGGTATTCTACTTTCCTACATTTCCTCATCTGTGGTATGAAAAGGCTATTTCTTTCATCTCTCCTGAATTTTCCCACAACAGAATTCAGTGCTGGTGCTCACACTAGGAAAAAATCAGGCAGATAATGGAAAGGAGGCAGCACAGCCTTTCCCTCATTCCCTTTGAATGTTGATTATGAGGAATCCCATAAGATTCCTTGTTCAGGTGAACCCACAAGGCAGGGTATACACGTAACAATAAAACTGAACTGGAATCTATTTGATCAACAAACCAGTTTCTCACCTAACTTACCTCACAGTTATTTTGGAAGATAAAAGTGGGAAGGAGAAGAGCTACATTTATGGTCTTCAGGTCTCTGGAGGAAAACAAATACATATACAGTATAAATAAATACTTCAATCCACATCTTCTGCTCCCATTTATACAATGTACTCAATTTCTGTATTGGTCATCTGATGTCATTGATGTGTACAGCCATGTTAGTCTACCTGAAACACTTATCTGCAATAAACAAATCGTTGGCTTCACAGAATTTTGGGAGCTGCTCCCCTGTTTCATTTCTGACTGCTAGGCTAAATTCTCCAAACATGTTTGGGGCTGCTTTATTTCCTATTTTTGTATCCCAGTCACCTATGATTATCAATACATCCTGTTTCGTGGTGTAATTAATCTTCTCCTGGAAGCATAAAACTACCAACGTCTCCTTCTTTCACTTAAATGATACTGTATGTCGATAAGCTTCCCATGAAGTCATACTAATATTACTGGGCAGACTTTTAATTATAGCTCTTTTGCTCTTCTGCAATAGCTGACTGGGTGCCTTCTGACCAGAGTTATCTTTCAGCACTATCTCTTTTTTTTAAAATTTGGATTTGTCTCTTTTGGGTTTTAACTCCCAAATTGAGTGTTGGGAAAGTGAGAACAGACAAAAAAAAAAAAATCCTCACCCAGCATGTTGTTAAGTCTGTGGAACTCCTGTGGTGATGTCATCTGGCCTAGATGCCTTTAGATTCCTGGAGGAAAAGTTCATTGTAGGTTACAAGCCATAATGGGGATGTATAATCTCCAGGCTTAAAAGGAAGGTACCTCCAAATGCAGGGGAGGGGTTTCGGGAGAGGATCTAGTGGTCTCGTGTGTTTCCAGAGGCATCTGGTGAGGCCACAGTGAGATACAGGAAGCTGGACTAGATGGGCTCTTGGCCTGATTTCAACTGCTCAACTACCTTGTCAGGCCCACCCCACACCTGAAAAGGAAAACACAATTATTTTAAAGGAGGTTCCTGCAGAAATGCAGAAGCCAGCCAGTTACAGGAAGCCAGATTTCAGTTGAAGATCAGGAAAAACTTCCTAACCGTTAAAGCAGTACAATAATGGAATCAATTACTGTACCTCTGGAGGTACTGTAGTACTAATGAGTGCTCTAACAGTGGGAAGCATTCAAGAGAAAATTAGAGAACCATCTATCAGATCTACTTTGGATTTGGATTCCTGCCTTGAGCAGGAGGTTGGACTCGATGGCCATATTGGCCCCTTCCAACTCCATTAGGCTATGATTTTATGAGCTTATTTGATAAAATTTGGCCAATTTAAGGACGGAAACCAAGCACTTCCTACTCTTTATATGAACTGTGTTACATGACATCGTCTGTGATTTGATGCTCTGAACAGTGGTCCCCAACCTTGGGCCTCCAGATGTTCTTGGATTTCAACTGCCAGAAATCCTGGCCAGCGGATGTGGTGATGAAAGGCTTCTGGGAGTTGTAGTTCAATAACATCTGGAGTCCGAATGTTGAGGACCACTGCTCATAACCAGGTTATGTCTAACCTGCCTAATTTCTCTCTCTCTCTCCAACTGCCCGTTTCCACCTGCATAACGCCCCCCAGGAGCTTCTCCACCCCACACCCTTAAGTTAATGTTCTTTATCCCCTGTTATTTCCTTGTCCCTTCCTATGTAGCGAGCAACCCTGACAGAGGAAAGCACACAAAATCTCCACTCCAGCACCTGAAATGGCCCCAATCCCACAGCTCAGGGTCTCCCTTTTCACTCTGTATCAGCTGAGCGAGGCCTTGTTATATAGGGTCAAAGTCACATCCAGGTATGGGGACCCTTACTAGGGCTTACAAGGTTGGTAAAATATTCGAGCACGTTCTGTGCCGTCAAGCTGGAGCCGTCAAGCTGGAGCCGACTTATGGCAACCCTAGTAGTCTTTCAAGGTAAGTGAGATATTTAAGGAGTGGTTTTACCAGTCCCACTCCCTCAGTGAGTTTCCTTTCCAGGTCCAAGTGGGGGATTCGAACCCTGTACTCCAGAGCCCTAGTTCCTCACTCTATCCACCACACGTAACCCTCACCAGGCCTTCCAGGTAAGTGAGGTATTTAAGGAGTGCATGCATCACTGCCACACACCCCCTCAGTGAGATTTCACGGCTGAGCAATGGTTTCAAACCTAGTGCCCTCAGTCCTAAGCCGCCCCTCTCCCCGCCCCACCACACGGCCTCTCCCAATAGGGGCCCCGCGTGCCCCTAATTTAACTTTTGGACGGGGTAGGGAGGAAAGCCGGGCGGGAGAAGGGACGGTGCGTGAGTGCATGCATCACTGCCACACACCCCCTCAGTGAGATTTCACGGCTGAGCAATGGTTTCAAACCTAGTGCCCTCAGTCCTAAGCCGCCCCTCTCCCCGCCCCACCACACGGCCTCTCCCAATAGGGGCCCCGCGTGCCCCTAATTTAACTTTTGGACGGGGTAGGGAGGAAAGCCGGGCGGGAGAAGGGACGGTGCGTGCGGGGGCTGCGCCAGCCGGGACAGGCGCC